ACCATTAAACCATCTTTCCAAGCAGCCTCCATGTCTCCAGTGTCTTTTTCCCCACTTGGAGCCGAACCCAGAAGGACATTTCTTTCATCAAAGGAGAGAAACAACTTAGAACTGAGGAGAAATTTCCTGACAGTTAGAACAATTAATCAGTGGAACAACTTGCCTCCAGAAGTTCTGAATGCTCCAACACTGGAAGATTTTAAGAAGAGGTTGGATAATCATTTGTCTGAAGTGGTGTAGGGTTTCCTGCCTGAGCAGGGAGTTGGACCAGAAGACCTCCAAGGTCCCTTCCAACTCTGTTATTCTATTCTATTCTATTCTATTCTATTCATAACTCTACACAAGAAAGCTGATGAAGTACTTCCAATCGCTTCACGAAGAAAACTGCGCCTGCGCATTCCATTGCGTTCCGGCCGTTCCGCGCGCGTGGACATCATCTTCGCCATTCCATGTAAAGAAAAAAAACCTCCTCGGCTACTGAGGTGAAAAAAAGAAACCTGGACCAACGGGATGCTGGGCAGAAGGAACGGGCGGCGGAGGGGAGGGAACCACACCTATGAGGTCATCAGTAGGCGTCTTTTTGAGAGTAGCGGGCTTTCTGAAAAACCCAGGGCCGCCCGGCTCCTGGCAAAGCGCTCGGCGCGTCCTTCCGTCGTCATTACGGTCGCTGTTGTCGCGTCATCGCTGCCGCCGCCGCCGGGTTCTTTCTACCCCCGCTTCTCACCCCGCCGCTCGTTCTGCCGCCGCCGCCGCTCTGCAGCCGCTCCTTGCCTGCCCGGTCGGGGTGGGCCCGCGGTAAGGAAAGCGCGGGAAATAGCCGGCCTGAGCTGGAAGGATGCTCGCTCCCCGGCCCGCCCGGCTTTCTCTCTCCTCCCTCCCCTCCCCCTTCCCGTCTTTTGTCTCCATCTCTTTCTCGGCTCAGCCACGGGGGAAAAAAAAATCAGGCCCGGAGGAGACGTGGCGTGGACGGGCTGCCCGAGGTGCTCCCTGAGTCTCATGATCGTGGTGGGCTAGAGACCCGGATTGGGGGGGGGGGCAGGCAAGCGACCCCAAGGAAAGGCGGATTGGGGAGGCTGGAAGAGATAAGGGAAATTTTTTTTGGGGGGGGACCGAATAAAATAGGGAATTGAGGTGGGGGGGAGGAAAAGCTGTGAGGGGGGACCCTCAGATGAGGTGGGGGGGGGCACGATTAAGGCCTGCTCGATTCTGGAGAGAAATGTTGTTGCATCGGGGCGAAGGGGGCGATGGAGGAGAACAATAATGTGGGGGGAGGGAAAAATCTGCTGTTAAGAGGGATGTGCGGTAGGAATCTCGTTTCCAATCAATGCTGAGCAGAAGGAAAACTAAAATCATGCCAGAAGGGAGGGGAAGACGAATGATCTGCCTTGGGAGGAAGAGCGCCTTTCTGATGAAGAGAGATGCCCTTGAATGGGTGGAAGATATCCCACCTTTTCACCAGGCGAGCTAGAGGAAATAAATCTTATCTAACGCATAAAAAAAAATTCTGTAGCTATTAGGCATGCGTTAAAAAAACAAAGACAAAACAAAAGGAGAATTGCTGACTAGTGAAATAATGATCTGTGGTCGTGGATGGGAATGCAAGCCTTGTAGCATCTTGTATTTTATCTATTTATTTGATTTGTCAGTTGTTTATAAGATATAAGAATCAACATGAGTATGAATGAAATGGGTACAAATAAATGGGGACAATAGGCACGGTGGTGTGCATGTGCACGCCCCTTACAGACCACTTAGGAATTGGCTGAGGGCCACACTAGACAGTCTAAGGTTAAACTTTTGGGGATTTGAAGATGTACTAACAGAGTCAGGTAGAGCATTCCAGGCATTGACCACTCGGTTGCTAAAGTCGTATTTTTTGCAATCAAGTTTGGAGCGGTTACCTTCAGTTTGTATTTATTGTGTGCTCATGTATTGTTGTGGTTGAAGCTGAAGTAGTCATTGACAGGTAGCACATTGTAGCAGATAATTTTATGTGCTACGCTTAGGTCAGACTGAAGGTGGCGTAGTTCTAGGTTGTCCAAGCCCAAACTTTCAGCCCTGGTGGTGTGGGATAGTCTGTTGCAAACAGAGGAGTGGAGTACTCTTCTCGTGAAATACTTCTGGACCCGCTCAATTGTATTAATGTCCGATATACAGTGTGGATTCCAGACAGATGAGCTGTATTCGAGAACTTGTCTAGCAAAGGTTTTGTATGCCCTAGTTAGCAATACAATATTACCGGAAAAGAAGCTTTGTAATATTAGGTTAACAACTCTTAATGCCTTTTTGGCGATGCTGTTATAGTGAGCTCTAGAATTTAAATTGTTTGATATGAGTACTCCTAGGTCCTTGACAGAGTGAGGGTCATCTATGAAGTTGTATCCGCCTAGCTTGTATTTGGTGTTCTGATTTTTCTTACCGTTGTGTAGAAGAGAGCATGTGTTGGTTGAGATTTGGAGTTGCCACTTTTTTGATGAATATAGGAAGTCCTCTTTACAACTGCCCCATCTAGAGAGTTAGAGGTGGTGATGGAAACTTTTGCAACTGATCCTTGCATTTAGGATCTTTATTGGTTGTAAAGCAAAGGAAAGTTGAATGAAGCACAGTGACAGTTTCATTTAGCGCCCACTTGGATTGACGGCCTGAATTGCTGATTTCATTTGTGATCATTACTAAATGAGGTCTACCATTACATTTATACAATATAATGATCTTGATTTTCTGCCGTAATGGTATGTTCAGTCTTGGTTTAGTCGTAGAGATGATTTGAAATATTTTGATGTATTAATGACTGTATTTGTAAAAATCAGTGGTTTTGAATTATGGGGTATTTTTATATATACATGCAGAGTTGAAGGTTGGTTGCAGACTGTGTTATAGTAGAAATAAAGTATGTGAGAATAAATTCAGTGCTTAACCAATGATTCAATATTGAGAGCAGTTAAGCCCGTGATGGTGAACCTATGGCACGGGTGCCAGAGGTGGCACGCGCTCCATCGCCAGGTGCTGGAAACGGCATGAAAACAGCCAAAGACACCCAAAAACCAGGCCGTTTTTGACTGTTTTTCAGGCCATTTTAGGCTGTTTTTTGGAGCTCTGGCGGAAGAACAAAAAACAGCCTGAAAATGGCCTGAAAACAGCCCCCAAAACCAGTCAAAAAACAGGCATGTGCGCGCTGGCCAGCTGGTCTTTGGGTTTCCGGTGCATGTGCATGCATGCACATTCTGGTTTCAGCACTCAGCGCTGAAAAGGTTCGCCATCACTGAGATGGGCCAATTCCCCTTGATTTTTTAATATGTATTTTTTTAGATAAACCTTTTCTTGGTGTGAAGTTGGTTGTCTGTTGGTTAGAGACATGAATATGCATGTACATTCAGAGGATGCTGTGTTGGATAAGAGGCAATAATTATTTTCAAAAAATGTTAGCATATGAAAATGTTAAGGGAATATGGAACTGCAAATTAATGTATCAAAGATTGAGGGAGTTGTGTCAGACAGGGAAAAAAATGGAACAAAATGTTATAAAGTAAATGTTAATGGCAAAACCTACAGCAAATAAATGACTATGTGAATCATGGTAGACTGTTCCCTGAAAATAGAAAAATGGTGGAATTTTAAATACAAATGTTGATAATACAATTCTAGGTAGTTTATGGTCTGTAGCAGGGGATGAACATTTATTAAAAGAATTTAAAATGCATACAAAATCATGCTTCCGTCTACTTTGTTATATGTAAATAAGAATTGATTAAGTCATGAAAAATATAAAAGTAACTAATGTAGTGTGGATGTACTACAGGTAGTCTTCGACTTACAAGAGTTCATTTAGTGACCATTCAAAGTTACAAAGTTACAATGGCACTGAAAAAAATAATTTATGACCATTTTCACTCTTACAACCAGCATCCCTGTGGTCATGTGATCAAAATTTGGATGCTTGGCAATTGGTTCATAGTTATGATGGTTACAGTGTCCTGGGGTCATGTCAACAGCTTTTGCAATCTTTTGACAAAGTCAATGGGGAAACCAGATTCACTTAAGAACCATGCTACTAACTTAACAAGTGCAGTGATTTAATTAACAACTGTGGCATCGTAAGATGGAGCAATACTCACTTAACATAAATGTTGGATTTAATTGTGGTCGGAAGTCAAAGACTACCTGTTCTTAATATGAATGTGATAAAACAAGTAAAGAGAGTCAAGAATGAATGGGGGTTGAATCACTAGATTGAAAAGTGAGTGACCACAATAGAAAAATACCTTGAAATTGTTTAGTCATACTGAGAGAATGGTTCTATAGGGAGATTGAGAATGGTGATCAGATGGAGGTGTTGACATCCTTAAAGAGAGAAGACGGAAAGTTTAAAACGTGGAAGGCAATGTATATATGTAGGGGAAAAGGGTTTGAAAGGATAAAAAGGTATTGAATAGAACAGTTAATGGTGGCATATGTAAATTAGATTTACTTAAATAGCATTTTCTTTTCTGTGGTTAATTTCCTTTGCTCACTATTTCTCATTGACTTGCTCTACTGTGAAAGGATAACTTAAAGCATGACAATAGTCTGCAAAGACTCATGTTGCAAGGCCACTCTGCAAAAATGTACATTTGCAAAAGGCTATATTCTCAGTCAAAGCACATTCTAGAATAGGATAACAGAGTTGGATGGGACCTTGGAGGTCCTGCTCAGGCAGGAAACCCTACACCACTTCAGACAAATGGTTATCCAACATCTTCTTAAAAACTTGCAGTGTTGGAGTATTCACAACTTCTGGAGGCAAGTTGTTCCACTGATTAATAGTTCTAACTGTCAGGAAATTTCTCCTCAGTTCCAAGTTGCTTCTCTCCTGGATTAGTTTCCACCCATTGCTTCTTGTCCTACCCTCAGGTACTTTGGAAAATAGCTTGACTCCCTCTTCTTTGTGGCAACCCCTGAAATATTGGAACACTGCTATCATATCTCCCCGTGTCCTTCTTTTCATTAAACTAGACATACCCAGTTCCTGCAACCGTTCTTCATATGTTTTAGCCTTCAGTCCCCTAATCATCTTTGTTGGTCTTCCCTGCACTCCTTTCTAGAGTCTCCACATCTTTTCTACATTGTGGAAACCAAAACTGAATGCAGCATTCCAAGTGTGGCCTTACCAAGGCATTATAAAGTGGTATTAACACTTCATGTGATTTTGATTCTATCCCTCTATTTATGCAGCCTAGAACTGCATTGGCTTTTTTGGCAGCTGGCTCACTGCTGCCAAACACTGCTGGCTCATATTTAAATAGTTGTCCACTAGGATTCCAAGATCCCTCTCAAAGTTACTACTATTGAGCAAGGTACCACATATACTGTACCTGTGCATTTTGTTTTTCTGCATAGAGCTTCTATAACAGAAATGTCAAACTTGTCAAGATACGTCATGTGGTGCATCGTGACTTTCCCCCCCGTTCATTAAAATGGGGGTGGGGGTGGCCAGCGCGTGACACATCTGGCCCAAAGGCCGTGAGTTTGACACCCCTGTTCTTTAACTGCAGATCTTGTATATGGGAAGAAAGCTCATGATGCTATTAAACTGCTGTTCTTGGCATCTCAGAACCTCAGCAAGATGAAACAAAACGATTGCTGGAATGATAGAGGATAAATGAATCTCTTCAACCTCAAATTCCCAGGTGTTTTCTAGGCATACAAATTATAAAGGGAAGTTCTTTGTACATATTTCCATAATATAATATACCCACCATTGCTCTTTCTAGTGCCATGTAGGCTACGCAGATTAGCAATATAACTATTCTATTTAAAGGGCCTCAAGTGTTGAGACTAACAGTTTTGTGAAGGGAGATAGTGAACTTACACAAACCCATAAACGTCTTTGTGTTATGCAGAAGGTGAATGTTTTTAAACGTTTGGACATTGTACTACATTGTGCTACAACCTTTATAGTCTGGGTCAGAGTTTCAAAATAAAAACTTTGTGAGTGGATCTTAATTTTATTTATAGGCAGCAGCTTTCAGAGTCAGAACATTTGCTTATATACTCCTTTGCTACACAGATGGAAAAGGGTGAAATTAATTGTGGATTTATAGGTACAAATGAATGGTTTTGTCAGATCTTTGATAGTGTCCAATAGGAAGGCTGAAAAGTGAACACCATCATTCTGAAGGCTAGAAATCTTTCTAGCCTTTAGAATGATCATTTGCAACTTTCCCAGCTGGCTTGCAACAAGCAAAATCAATGGGGGAAGCAGGATTCACTTAATGACTGCATGATTCATTTAAAACCTATAGTGATTTGTTTAACAATTGTGGTAACAAAGGTGGTAAAATTGAATGTGACTCATTTAACAACCGCCTTGCTTAGCAATAGAAATTCTGGTCCCAATTGTCATAATTCATGGACCATCAGCATAAGGAAATTTCCCTGTAGTGGTTTCTGAATGTTAGTTTCTGTCTTTATATCATATGGACACACTTTTGACTAAGCCTGTGGAGATTCTCAGTCATCCAGGTCGTGGTGTCCCAATGGTGCTTTTTCGGGAGGCAACTGGACTTTCTTGGGGGGGGGGGTGTTGTTTTTTTAAGACATTTTGTTTCTCATTCAAGAAGCTTCTGACTGGATGGTGGTGAATGGAAGGATTTATATTCTTTGCAGATAGCTGAACATTTGCATTCTTTTAGAGAGTCCTTGAGGTCCCTAGAAGGTTTCTCTCCCTCCTCAGGGTCATCCAAATAGTGCAAATGGGTGTGGAGCCTTCTTGGCTGCAAGATGTTTTCTTCCCTGAGTCCCTTCACTGTTGAAGACAGTTGCCGGCTGTTGAGGATGAGTTTGTGTTGTCTGCATCTCAAACTGAAACCTTTTGACTAATGTAAATATTTTGACTCCATAACATTGTTGGCCTTAACAGACTGAGATTGCATCAAGACAATAGGCCAATAGTACAATGGTATTCTGTATCCAGTTAATTATCCAGTCTGTTCTAGCTGCCAAATAACTGCTTGAGATAAAGAGCTGTGCAGATTCTTCAAATGAAGTTTTTTTAATAATATGTAAGAACATATACTTTTCTCTCTGAATCACAAAAGTAGCCACGGCTTTCTCTAGACTTGTAGAGATTTTTTTTAAAGCTTCTTCTCTCAGATTCGAGTGGTATCAATATTCTCCTGTCTGGGTATGGGAATATGATGAGTATGTATGTACAGGATTATTGGTAGAATGGCTATCCAATGACCCAAATATCAGATTTCACAATATTTGTCTAAGTTTTACCCTGTTTGAAATCTTAAATGTCTGCAGTGGAATGCATTGTGCTTATATTTTTGTCTGTAAAAATGCCCAAGGGGATGGGTTTATTTGTTTTTGTTTTAGAGTGGTCTTTGGAATCATGATTAGGCTTTATAAATTATGCCTAATGGCCTAGTGTGATACATTAACTAAGTAAATTCTACCTTAGTCAATAAACAGATGTTTTATCTTGGCTTAGCATGACATGTGCACCCAAGAATAGTAGGAGTGGGAAGAAAAAGCTAATATTGATTCATGGCGGCTCCATATTTATCTAAAATACATCTGTACTGCTTTTTCAGGACTCATGCTTTAAAGGATCTTATAAAAAATAGGATCCTATGGTATAAAATCACTAAAATTATATTATATTAATTAATATAATAGTATATTAATTATATTAATTAATAAGTATATTAATAAGTAATTAACTAATTAATTAATTTAATCTTAGAATTAAGAATTATCCAATCTAATACATCTAAGGAATGTATGAAGAGAATAAGTAAACGTTAAGAGTTTTGGTAGCATCTTGCGATGCAGGAGTTTGTCTTAAAATGTACAGCATTAAAACAGTTTGGAAAGAAATATCTGAATAAACTAAGACAACAATAGAGCAGCGCTGACTGATAACCCACAGCTGACGCTTGGTAAAATACACACTTTAGACTACATTGCATCGTTGATTATCTTCATTAATAACTTGCCTTATTTTTTCTCCAGTTGCACTCCATTTATGTGGGGCTATTATAATTCCCAGCAATTTTGAAACCGAACATTATAAACTGGCAAACGTGAAGAACGAAGATCATGAGTTTGTTTAATCTGGACCGCTTTCGCTTTGAGAAGAGGGCCAACATTGAAGGACAAAATGCTCCGTCTTCAGATTCTCCTGAAGATCAGAAAGAGCCCACTGTTTTCAGTACTGTAAGGAAGGATTCTACAGTTCCTTCTCCTTCAGAAGATCATGCTACTACTGTTGGTGGAGAAGATGATGATGATCATACTATTGGACCAACCTCTCCAGCATCTGATGTGTCTGAGGAAACCGGTAAACCCTGGGTCCCCCCCCCCCCATTTATAAATTAATCAAGATCCTATGAATATCACTTTACTGCTCTAAGGAACACTTTAAAATATTACTCCAAAACAAAAATGCTGGTATTCTCTAGAAAACTAGTTAGTTACTTATTAAATTACAAGATTCAATCTGGGTTGGTCACCGGGACCAGAGTTTTTTTTTCCTGAGCCTTCAGACCAGTGGTGGGTTGCAGGCAGTACGCCCCGGTATGGGCATACCGGAGCCAGCCTGGAGCACCGGATACCATTCCAGTACGGTGCTCCGGAGGGCCCACCTGCCCTCACTTCTTACCTGTGCTTTAAGCTTTTGGCGCTTACGGGCATGGTGCATATAGCACCTGCACAGTGCTCCGCCAAGCAGCTGGAGCATCATGGAGACTTGTGGAAGTGTCGCAGTTCAAGAACTGCCAATCACTTGCTGATGATAAATCAGGCTGTGCTGAAGCTGACCGGACTGTTTGCTGCAAGGAGGCAAATTGCTGGGAGGCAGAGGCAGATTTTTTTTTCTTGTTTTCCTCCCCAAAAGCTTAGTGCGTCTTATAGTCCCAAAAATATGGTAAGTAACCTAAATATTAGATAAATCTCAATTCAGGTAAGATGAAGTTTTTATTAGAAGATTATTTTGTTAGTAGGCGATGTTGCCAATTAAGTGGCATTCAATCTCTTCTAAATGGAGCTTGTTGTGTATATTGATTTTTTTTAAAACAAAATTTTCCATTTCCTTGGCCCCATAGATTACATTACAAAATCATAAAACAATTAGTTTTGTGTATAAATGTTAATCTTTAAAAACATATTTTTTTGCTCTTGTTCAATGAGAGATCTATGTCTAATCCATTCTGAATTTATTCAATGCTTTGGTGCACATATTCTAAACTTGAGAATAAAATATTCTTGAACTCAGAGTTGGTGATAGTTATATAAATCAGAAAATTTTGGGAAACTACATATTTAATTGGAACTATTATCAAATAGAGCATTTATATGTAAACTATGTTTTATTGAGTCCAATGGACTTCAAGTTGCAAGTTTTTTTCTAAATTTCCATCTTGCTATATCAGTACATCTTTCTAGCCATATGGTACTATTACAGCTTGTCAAACTTTCACTATGCTTCAGGGGGGCATATCAAATATGCCACTTTATGTGTGTGTTTTCATTTGTCTCTGCCATCAGTTAAGAATTCTCTGTGTTAAAAATTCAGAGTTAAGAACAATTTTTTATTTATCATTGTATCACAAAATACATCTTGGTTACAAAAGGCATTTTAATTCTGTTTATGAATAATGTATATTTTGTATCGTTCATTCTGCTTCCAAAGATGATTCCAGTATCCCAGAAACTCCTGAAGCTAAGAGGACAGTACAATCCAAGTATTTTAAATATAAGAAAGATGTTATTGAATTGTCATCTGAGAGTGAAGATGAAGAAGTACGAGGGACATGCAAAAATAAAAAGCAATCCTCGGTTTCTAGAAGGGATGTTATTATAATGTAAGTTTTATAACTTCTTTCAGATTAATTGCTTAGTTTAAAATTAAAAATCAATCTGGAATCTTCAGGATTTGATGTTCAGGTTTCCTGGGGTGACCTGAGGCATGGCACAGAGATAACACTTGAAGCTGGCAATTCAAATTTCTCCAAATTTCTCCAAACACTCCCACGTTTCTGGCAAGTCCCAGATCAAAATGATGATAGAGCATATATATTGCAACCTCTGGCTGCATATAGTGCAACCCAACACTGTAAATAGCAGAGCTGCACAGCAATAAATCCAGCAAGTTGAAGAGTCCAGTAAGCAAGGGCGCACAAAGAGTCTCCTTAAATCTTTGTCCCCAGGTGTGCTTTGTGAGGAGGGGTGGAGCCGGCTCAGTCTGCACTGTTCTTGCCTTCTCTCTACTCTCCGTGCTCACGGATCAGGATGGGGTGGTCCTTGCTCATTGCCTGAGCTCTGTCTTTCATGTTCACTGCTTAGCCTCTCTTGGTCATCCAGCCCCGGTTCCTCCCTGCCTACAAGCCGTCCTAATCCTGAAAAGCCCTGGCCCGACTGACCTTGCTGCTTCCCATTTTCCTCCAAAGCCAATGAAGCTGCCCCCTCAATCTCTGACAGCTCCAGTTCCAGCTCGTCTTCCCGCACAGATTCAGGCTCCGATGGAGACATCATATATAAAATTTTCAGCATAAACATAATAAGATGGTAAACCACGAATTTTAGTGAACTTAATGGATATAGTTCTGAATAAAATACAGAGATTCACCATAAAATTGCTTTTAATTAGTAACATTGTGAAAGTTGTCAAGTAGATGCTAAATGATAAGATACATTATGTCAAATACTATAATTAATCCATATCAGATATTTCCAGAAAGGTTTCTCTTATTTAAGTTTGAATGTTCTTCCCAATATGCCTTTCTGATATATTGGTCTTGAATATTTACTGTTTTATTTTTTGCTTGTTTTTCTAAAGTGTTAGGTTGAACATAGCATACTGAATCAGAATTATAAATGAAATTAGAAAAAATAATTAACTAGAATAAAATATTCCAAAATGGAGCTTCACGTGTGAGCACCTACCCAAATGGAGCTTTGTGTATGAGTGCTTTTGGGTGGCCTGTTCCAAACAGGCCACGTCCCAGAATGGGCTGTGGGCTGGGGATTGGGGACCTAAAATCCTAGGAGCTAAAAAAAACCATCATTGTAAAAAGAATGCAAAAAAATCTTCTAGATTAAAGAAAATAAAAATTTCCTATTTTTCGTAAGATTTTTTAATAGGTCTATAATTTTTGATTTCCAGGAAATTTTCTATTATCATTCTAATGTCTAACCACTGTTACCTAATGTATGTTTATGTATTTTGTGGTGTATTTTTTAATTCTACAGTAAAAAATTGTCATAATATTTTATCTCCACATTTAGTTCTGAACCTTCTGATGACGAAAGTGAGAATGAATCATCACAATCTCTCCATAAAAATAGTCCAGCTGAAATGTCAGATGCCACAGAGGAAGAGGAGGAGGAAGAGGATCTGAATTACTGTAAACTCCAAACATTAAAAGAACTTTTCCCACAAAAAAGTGACCAAGAATTATTAAAGGTACAGTATTATAATTATCAGGAAATATCATAGACATACCTTACAGTTGTGGATTCTTTCCGGTTCAGCCGAACCGGTAGTGGTTTGGGGGCCTAGGTCACTGGAACCAGCAGCGACCCAGGCCTGCCACGCCCCCAAACTGGTTCTCTGCACATGTGCAGAAGCATTTTTATTGCATTGCGCATGCGCGCATTCAGCGCGCACCAGCGAACCAGCAGTAGAGCCTGCCTGAACCCACCTCTGATACCATGAATGTCTGAAGATAAATCTCTGTCAATTTCTTGTCTTCTCTTTCCCTGTATTTCAACAGCCTTAATCAGAATATAGGTAGTCACTAAATGAGTGTTTGTAAGCCGAGGACTGCCTGTATTAGAAAGAGGATAACAATGATGTATTCAGCCTCTGTGTCTCTCACACACATATACTGTATATTGCACTTCCGAATAAAAATGCATAGGATTTCATAGCAAAATTTTAAAGTAATAATAATTTTAATCTAGAAAAGAAATTTTTTCTCATCTTCTTCTTGTAGCTCATAGAATCAACAAATACTATGGATGAAGCTATAGCTGCTGGTCTAAAATTGTTTGATGAAGGTATACGGCTATTTTTTATTTATTTTTATGATTTTTTTGTAATTGACATGTTTGATATAACTACTATATCATCCCACCTTCTTATTTATTATTGTTCAAATATTATATAGACTTGCTGACATAAATACTAACAAAAAACTTACATAAAATACTGAAACTTGTATACAAGGAGAGTCAAAAGAGCAACAACTCTGTTACGTACCTAATGTCACATGTTCTTAAATTATTTTTCCCAAAGTTATGAGAAGTCACTAAGTGTCACTCATTGCTAAATACGCACAAATAGGTGGTTAATTCCTACTGTGCAGGTAACTTTTTTCAGAAACCAAACATTTAAACCAGGGGTAGTCAACCTTTTTATACCTACTGCCCACTTTTGTATTTCTGGTAGTATTAAAATTTTCTAACCGCCCACCAGTTCCACAGTAATGGTGATTTATAAAGTAGGGAAGTAACTTTACCTTATAAAATTTATAAAGCAGAGTTACAGCAAACCCCTACCGCCCACCATGAAAGCTGGAATGCCCACTAGTGGGCGGTAGGGACCAGGTTGACTACCACTGATTTAAACCATCATTTTATGCATATAAACTTATCCTTAAACTAAAATATATTTTATAACATTCTGTATGTACAGAAATCTGTTAAAATTGCTTAAGTTGAGACCTTGTAGATGCACTTTAAACAAAATGCTGTTCCAGTTTTATAGTGTTTAAATAATTCACAAAGATGTTTTGTTTTGATTTGGTTCCTTGTTTCCCCATTGCCCTCAGCTTCTTCTTTTTTTTTAACAGTGTTTTCACATAACAGTAAAATTTCAGATCTTTTTTATAGTAACTGACAAAGACACAATCGTGGGTATTTGTGTACAAAGAATCATGGAAGAATAAACAAGTCTGTAAACAATGGCCTAGTTTTAAGTTCCATTATTGAACACCTGTTTGTCAAAGAGGGAGAGATTAATCATTTCTTCTGAAAGGCGACAGTTGATTACGTTGTGAAAACGAAACAATGTAAAATAAATGTAATTAATTCGTGTGATTAATTTGAACTAATGCTACTATTGCCATGTAATATTTCCCATGTTAATTATCATATTAACTGAGATTTAGAATTTGTGTGACAATTGATCACACCGTCTGCGACATACATGTGGCATTTTTATCTACTTATCATGTCCTTCCCAAAGACTAGGGATAGGCAGATACTGTTTAATAATATTGCCTGTATCATTGCAGGATGTGAGCTATTCCAAGTAAAGCTGTAGTTTGCAAGTGACTAATGGTGATTTTGTCAATGCTAAATGGTGTTCAAGTGTATGAAGCAGCCTAATGTTTTTACTGCATATTGGACTGCGACTGAATTTGAGCAAATGTGTTTATACACTCTAGAATTTATAAAATTATAATTGTAACTTATGGGTTAGGATCACCACCACAAACTAACATAAAATCAAGAGGGTGTGTGTGTTAATGAATAGACACTGATATATATTGAAGATACTGAGCTCACACACTCATCCGAATTGTAGTTTGTGAGAAGAGAAGACAAAAAGCTGTGTTTGTTGCAATAATGGCAATAGATTTCCCATTAAATGATATACATTTTTCACACTGTAAAGTAAACTATATTGCATGTGCATAAACAATACTAAAATACTGTCTGGAACTTGTATAAGAAATAAGTGTTTCAAAACATGTAGGTGGGAGGCTAATCTTAATCGTTCTACAGTACTATTTTAAAGAGAGAATTATGATTGTGAGTTTAGTTTATGTTTTTAAATAAGACAGCCCAACATAATTTTATTAAAGTATTTTACTGTTCCTGAAATAATACAAATAACCATAATCACATAGATATTAGACTGAAAGTCCTTTTCACATTATTAATTTAATGTACTTTTTTACTTATAAAAGGAGGATCTCGAAAGAGAAAGCTTGAAGATGGTGAAATGAACAATTCTGAAGATAAGGATGACCAAAGTGCAAAAAAGAAAAGACTTGAACCTGTGAGCATTTGGTCATATTTTCTATATATAACAAAACCTAAGCTAAGTATGGAACTCAATAGCAAAAGCAGAAGATCATAAACTTCACTAAACTTTTGATAACTCTATTCAAGAAGTGGAAAAATTCCTCTTTCAGACCCAGTAGTCTTTGTTGATGATACCGGCTTAATATATAAGGATCTTGCACTGGTTCCTGTACTCCTAAATACATTTTTCATCTACCGTATTTTTCGGAGAATAAGACACACCTTTTTTCCTCTAAAAAAAGGCTGAAAATCAAGGTGTGTCTTATACACCGAACACAGCATTTTTGGCCTCCCGAAGCCCCGTCCCTTCACCAAAATGGCCGAAAATACCCTTATGGAGGCTTTCAGATAGCTCCTGGAGGCTGGGGAGGGCAGAAATGAGTGAAAAACGGGTCGTTTTTTGCTCAATTTTGTCCCCACCACCCCAGGAGCATTCTATAAGCCTCCATAAGGCTATTTTTTTTGACAAAAAACCAGCCCATTTTCACGAAAAACGGCCCATTTTTTTTTTGCTCTTTTTTGCTCCCTCCCCCCCTTCCCCAGGAGCACTCTGCAAGCGCCCCACAAGGCTATTCATGCCTTTTTTAAAAAAAAAAATGGGCCCGTTTTCGCAAAAAAACGGGCCGTTTTGGGGAGGTTTGCAGTGCAAAAACTTTTTTTTTCCTTTCAGAAAGCTGTTTAGAGGGATTGATGAGAATTACATTGATCAAGTGCTGTGCCAGCAGAAACAAAGTTTTAGGTGCTACAGGTCAGCAATTTCCTTCTCCAGCACATGGATCAATACAGCTGGAAACATCTACCTACCTGCCCACTCTTTCTCTCTCCCTACCCACTTTATTTCTCCCCCCCCCTCTATCTACCTATCTACCTACTCTCTCTCTTTCCCCCTCTATCTACTGTATTTCTCTCTCTTTTTCTCTCTATTCCTCTACCAACCTACCTACCTACTCTCTCTCTCTCTCCCTATATACTGTATTTCTCTCTATCTTTCTATTTCTCTCTATATCCCTACCTACCTACTGTATGTTTTTCTCTCTATTTCTCTCTCCCCCCTCCCTCTCTCCCCCTTTATCTACCTACCTAACTACTCTCTCTCTCTCCCTACCTATCTATTGTATTTCTGTCTCTTTCTCTCCCTCTCTATCCTTCTATCTACCTACCTACTTTTTTTTAAAAAAAAATGCCTCTTCAAAACCTGGGTGCGTCTTATACTCCGAAAAATACGGTATTTCATGTCTTCAGTTAATGGCGATGTAGCCGCTTGGATTATGCCATTAAATGCTAAACATGGCCTTGAGCCTGTTTGCACAATTTATCTGTACCATGGTCTGTATTTCATAGTGATAGGCATAGAATACAATGGCTGGATAAAGCAGTAGGTGGAGCCAGGACAAAAAACTGAATTAAAATTAATTTAATTAAATAACTGGAAGTAATATGATTACTCTGGCCCTATTTTAGAATTTTGTCCTGTTCCATTTTAAAATATAATTTGACATCAACTTTGAGAGTTTTCTGAAGAGTTCCAAAAGTCCTGGGACCCTAGAGTTATGTAGTGCCACTAAAGATTGCATATCAGTCTGTCACTAGACTATCTACACCTGTCTTTGATTAAAATCTTTGTTTACTGAATTAGTGGAAAGTAGCGAGAGAAAAATATGTACAGTCTTAATTCTGATTAAGCTACAGCTTTTGTGTATAGTTACAGATGTCTGTCTATCTCTCCTTCTCACTCTCTCTTGTGAGAGAATATTGAATTTCAAAATTTCACCGTAGTATCTGAAATGCTTCGTTTAATTTTATGAAAAAATAATGTACAGTGGGACCTTGGGTGCTGAACGTAATCCCTTCCAGGACTTCAGTCAGCACCCGATTTGTGGTTGTGACCAGAAGCAAAACAAACTGCGCATGTGTGCACACACAAAAAATGGCATGGAAGGGGAAATCGCTGAGGCAGGGAAAATCACTGCAGCTGTGTTTATTCGACACCCGAGGATGTGTTTGTGACGTGAGTGAAGCATTTAGCATTCGGTCGGCACTCGAATTGTTCGTCGTCTGAGCCATTTGGGATCCGAGGTCCCACTGTATTCATCCAACCATTAAGCACTGCTAGTTTACCTAAATGGGTTTTCTGGTCACTGATTTTCCCCCCATTAAATTATGATGTATTTGTATAATATATATTTTAGGATTGTTTTAATTAATGTACGTGTATTTAAATAGTAGAGCTGAATTGCAAACTAAAATTGATCTTTTTTCCCCCAACCATAGTTGCAAGATCCTGAAAACGAGGGGGGAAAGCATGAACATCTAGTAAGCAAATTGCACAAAGAATTTCCAAGTTTAGATAAAGAGGTATGGTTTTACTTGACAGTATATGTTTTAGGCCAATATTAGAAATAGATATGTAGCACCACCAAAGATTGCATATCTGTCTATCTGTCCCATATACCTTTAGGAGCTTGGAGCACTTTAAACTGTAAATAGGAACATTCCAACTTTCCTTAACTAAGTTTTCAGTCTGACATAAAGGCTGAAGGATTGAAATTTTCACTGAAATTGAGATTTTTTTGTACTGCTATAGCATCTCAGCCTTAATTATTAGATAAAATATAAAGACTCTTGTAGATTTACATTGTACAAGCTGTACATTGTAGTTCTCAATACCAGGATTCTTTCTTGAACTGCTTTTTAAGATGAGACTATATACATATGTCCAGTTTTGATAGCAAGGTCTCTGTATGTGTTTTATATGGTTTATTAATCCTGTGATCATGCAGGATTTATTTATTTTGTGAATTAGGAACTGAGAGATGTACTTCAGGAACATAACTGGATATATCAAGAAGCTTTGGATTCTTTAAAAGCATTTATGGAAGATCAAGAGGGTAAAGATACTTTTACTTTAATTGGTATATATCATTAACTGAGCATGCATCTTTCTTATTGCCCACATATTTAGAGAGATCCATAATCTGTTTCTAATAAAAGGTTTTAAAGAGGTTTAAAAATTATTCTGTACAGATTCTGTTTAATTTAGTGAAGCAGGACTTAACATAAAAGAAGCAAAAGAAATTATAGTAATATGATGAAAATGTAAGATGACATAGTAAAAATACAAACCTAACAAATGAAGAAAGCAAAATCTTCATGCAAGTTTTAATCAGAATTAAAATAAGAGAATAAGCACCATTTCATGACATGTTAAGTGAGACTGAGTGTCATTATGGAAGAAGCTCTCTGTCTCATTCTTACAAATGAGCTAAAAGAATTGGTGGCAATGCATATTCTGGTAATCTTTAAACATGAGTGACTTAGAGTAAGAAGAATTGGTATTTTAGGTGCTGTGTCCCAAGCCAATTAGAACTTTAAAGGTAAGCTCCAGCATCTTGAAGTAAGCTTGTAAGCAAATATATTGCTGTTTTATCACTTTAATATGTTCTCCTCCAGTTGAAGAGAGCTTGTGGGTTGGTTTACACACATTTCATTACCAAGCTAGGTAACATCTTCAGCGGAGTGTAGGGGATGTCAGTGTCAGTGTTCTTCTGCTTATAAGGGCCCTTATAAGGACACTGGCATCCCCTACACTCCGCTGGAGATGTCACCTAGCCTGGGAACAGAACATTTGGAAACCAACCCATAAGCTCAGATAACAAACCTTTACCCTCATCCTATACACAAACTACAGCTATTCGCCAATATTGCATACTATACATATATTTTAGTGGGATGCGGTGGCTCAGTGTTTAAGACGCTGAGCTTGTTGTTCAGAAAGGTTGGCAGTTCAGCGGTTTGAATCCCTAGCGCCGCGTAACCGAGTGAGCTCCTGTTACTTGTCCCAGCTTCTGCCAATCTAGCAGTTCGAAAGCATGTAAAAATGCAAGTAGAAAAATAGGATCCACCTTTGGTAGGAAGGTAACAGCGGTCCGTGTGCCTTTGGCGTTTAGTCATGCTGGCCACATGACCATGGAGACGTCTTCAGACAGCGCTGGCTCTTCGGCTTTAAAATGGAGATGAGCACCGCCCCCTAGAGTCGGGAACAACTAGCACATATGTGCAAGGGGAACCTTTACCGTATACATATATTTTGAACCCTTTCTTATCTTGGGGTTCTTTCTTCTCAAGTTCAGCGAGGCCTTAATTGAGAAGGTATGTACTTAATATGCTTTTTAAGAAATGTGGTAAGTTATCTAGAAGAGAATATTCATCTAATTCCTAGATATGAGGACCACCTATGTTTTCCAGCTTTTTGAATTCAACTTATGTTTATTCTATAGCCCAATACTGACTCCAGGCACTAGAATGACAGCTGCAAAGCTTTGCTTGAATATGATAATGAAGAAAGATAAATATTTTCACCATAACGGTAGAATGCGTATGAAAGGGCTTCACAGCTTTGTATAGATGGTAAAAAGTATGGCAAATGAAATAATGCTTTGTGAGTCCCCCAAAGGCACCCCCCTTTTAAAAGTAGACATTTGTGATTCATATTTAACTGAGGAGGCCTTTTCAAGAAGAAACTTGAATTTTTATGCCTGGAAACTCAGACCTCTCCATGTATTCTGCCCATGTTCTTTTGCTAGGGTTGAAACTCTTCCATGATCTATGATAAGCACTTATTTAATGGTGTAATGTGGTGAAGTAAAAATACTTCGTGCTGCAGAGTGGAAAAACACCATGTCCTCCCAATATCCATTCATTGGCAGTGTGATACTCACAATGCAAGGAGGGTTTTCACTGCTTCTTGTAGTGCTTTGCCAGACAATCTCTGAAATGTTCTCTTGATTGCTTTCGGTCATTTTGATAGCAGTGCCATGGGGCAAGACAGCTGCACTGAGTCTTAAAAAGTTACTAAATTTGAGCAGAAGCAACTTCATGATACTTTTGTGGACTCCTGCTAGATTCGGTGGGCTTGCTATTGTCCTCGCTTTTCAAATTGTCTCCATCCTTTTATGTTATATCTACAGATGCACCTTCAAAGAGTGAAGTTTCAAATGGAGAGAGCGTCTCGGTTAATAATGCCGCTCACCACAAGAAAGATACCAATACAAAGCCGAAAGAGAAATCATCCAAAACTTCTGAGAATGGCTTCAGGAGAAAGAAAAAAAAGAAGAAAATTTGGAGTACTAAAAGGGACTCCCAGGAGGTGCAATACGAATCTGCTTCGGAAGCCGGTAGCTCCCTTGATGAGGACTATAGCAGTGGTGACGAAGTGATGGAAGACGGTTATCGGGCTAAAATTCTTAGTTTTCTTCAAGGTGCTTCTCTTGGTGAACTCACTTTGATTCCACAGTGTTCTCAGAAAAAGGCTCAAAGAATAATGGAGCTCCGTCCCTTTAATAACTGGGAAACCTTGGTAAGTCTGTATTCTTTTTTTTTTTTTTAAATCAACAGCATAGAATATATTCATGGGATGTCTTCCTACTAAGAAGGTATACATGTGTCGCTTTAGCTAACCAAGCTAAAACACTTTGCTTCTTCTAAGCCAGTAGCATTTCAAACAGTGTCAGATGACCTCACTTTGAATGCATTAAGGGATGATTTTCTTGAAAAATAGAAGCTGATTGGCTGGCAACACTGTCATTAATTCTTGAGCTCGGAAACTTGGTTCACTTTACTGCAGAAGAAGAATTTGGAGCTTTCATTTGTGAAGCTGCTGTTTGCTTGGGTTTTCTGATCTCCTGTCGTTGAAAAACCAAACAGAAATGAAGAACGTGGCAATTTTTTTTTAACTGCAACTTTGCTCAGAGAACCGGTAACCAACTTGCAGAGTTTCTCCATGATTGAGATGCCAGGATAATTAAGTGTGTTAAGCAGTTGACGAAGAAACTTTTGTTATTTCTTTTGATTCCTTCATTTTAACTCATCACTGACTTTTTTTTATCTTAGTATTAAGCAATTTTGGTAATTTCCTTGAGTAGTATAAAGGTGTTTTTTTAACCTTCAAAAACAAATTAGAATTCTTGACATGGAAATGAAAGAAAGAAAGAATACCTCTTGGTGAGTACTTTTTATACTATTGCAAACATAATGAAAAAAAATGTTTTCAGTAACTTTATTTCATGCTGTTCCATCAAAATGAACAATCTTTAGTTTTTAGAGGTGTGACTTTGTGATTGGGTTTGTTTGTTAACTTCTCAAAGGAAAAATTATGGAATTTTGTCCCTGTGAGTTTTATTTGTCATTGTTTTAGATAAATGATTGGAAGTAAGCTACTTTATCTAATACTTCTGATGTTTGTTCCTTAAAACATTATTTCTAGGAGTTGAGACCACAGCATTTAAGCACTTTTTAAACCCGACCTCTATACATGCTGCATTGTTCCGAATTAGGCATTTTAAGCATATTGGACCCTAAATTATTTGGGTCAGGTTTTTGAATGGAAAAAAAATACTATTTCTTGCATATTTTAAAGTGCATACATGGAAAATACATGAAGATATCTTTACAGCAGCCCTGCCTGTGAAG